TGTGTGTGTAGTAGAGTGCTGTATGAAAGTGTGTTTAGTAGAGTGCTGTATGAAAGTGTGTGTAGTAGAGTGCTGTATGAAAGTGTGTTTAGTAGAGTGCTGTATGAAAGTGTGTGTAGTAGAGTGCTGTATAAAAGTGTGTGTAGTAGAGTGCTGTATGAATGTGTGTGTAGTAGAGTGCTGTATGAAAGTGTGTTTAGTAGAGTGCTGTTTGAAAGTGTGTGTAGTAGAGTGCTTTATGATTGTGTGTGTTTTGAGGTAAATAAGAACACACATTGTGTTCTAAAGAGCTTTGAGTAGCTTGATTAGATAGAAAGGAGCTGTATAAGTACAGTTCATTTAGTATTTACAAATACGCTTTAAGTCCCTGTGGGAAGTTTACTTCAATCGTTGCTGCAACTTTATAAATGAAACTTTTGATTTATTGTGTTTGAAGTGAAGGAACAAGTTTAAACAGCAGGAAGGAAAGAAACAAAAGCATCAAAATAAAAATTTAACTATGGTGTCCACACAATGTAAATCTTTTGTGGCATTCAGGGACCAATGGTAATAATGTGCGCTTCATAATTCTGCTTAGGACTTAATTATAAATTATAAAAAATTAACATTTGGGAAACCTCTTTGCATTTACAGAAATAAAAGGAAATTAATTAAAATCTAAAACTTTCAAAGGAGACTAAATAAAATCTGTAATGTATTTATTCGTAGTGTCTAGCTGTGGTGATGCTTCAGGCTCTGCATGATCCAGACGCACGTGATGTTCGTGTCATCCTTTACTCCGTGTGTGTGTGTGTGTGTGTGTGTGTGTGTTTGTGTGTGTGTGACTCAGACCTCAGCTCGCCTCCACATCCTCGTCTCCACTCGCCCCCTCCCCCCTCTCGTCCCCACATTTATTACACGCAGCCGTGCACGCACGCGCTCCATTCAGTCTGGGTCGCTGTGAGCGGAGAAGAGGAGGCTCGTCGCGCACAGCCGAGCCGAACCATGACGAGCCGCTCCACGCTAATCGATCTCGTTGTGGAGGAGGAGGAGGTCGGCTAGTAGTGGAGGGCTGGGGTGGTGGGGGGGCAGCCTGGACCCTGTTGGTTCTGACTCATATCTGCTGCTGTCGTTCTGCATCATGCTGTACTTCCAGCTGGTGATCATGGCCGGGACCGTCATGCTGGCCTACTACTTTGAGTACACGGACACCTTCAGCGTGCACGTGCAGGGCTTCCTGTGCTACGACACCATGTACACCAAACCCTACCTGGGACCAGAGGACAGCAGCGCCGTCCCACCTGTCCTGTTGTATGCCTTGGTGGCTGGACTGCCCACACTGTTGGTGAGTACAGGCTCCTCCCCCAAACATCACAGTTCATCTGAGAAGCATAATCATCACACCTGTACAGTTCATCTGTGAGAAATATAATCATCACAACTAGGGGTGCACAGATTGCAGTTTTCTGGCCGTTCACCGCTTTCTAAAAATTCTGACCTGCCGATACCAATTTAGTTTTATAAGCAACACTGTCAGGAGTTATAAGGTCACACTGCACTTTCAAATTTCCAATATTACTTTATTGACAAACATACCATTGAACAATATCCTAGAAACAATACAAACTTGTTTTAACTGGCCATGAGGTAGTGCTTAGAAATATAAATAAAGTTCAGACGATTGTTGTTAAAGCGAAAAAAAATCGTTAAAAACAGTTTCTTGTGCATCGGCCGATTTCCAAAAATTAAGGAAATCGGGGCAGATAAATTTGCCAGCCAATTTATCAGTGCACCCCTAATCACAACAATACCGTTCATCTGTGAGAAATATAATCATCACACCTCTACAGGTCATCTGAGAAACATAATCATCACACCTCTACAGTTTATCTGTGAGAAATATAATCATCACACCTCTACAGTTAATCTGAGAATCATTATTGTCACACCTCTACAGTTCATCTGAGAAACATTATCATCACACCTCTACAGTTCAACTGAGAAACATTATCATCATATATCTACAGTTCATCTGAGAATCATTATCATAACACCTCTACAGTTCATCTGAGAAACATAATCATCACACCTCTACAGTTCATCTGTGAGTAATATAATCATCACTCCTCTACAGTTCATCTGAGAATCATTATCATCACACCTCTACAGTTCATCTGAGAAACATTATCATCACACCTCTACAGTTCATCTGAGAAACATAATCATTACAACTCTACAGTTCATCTGTGAGAAATATAATCATCACACCTCTACAGTTCATCTGAGAAACATTATCATCACACCTCCACAGTTCATCTGAGAAACATTATCATCACACATCTACAGTTATTCTGTGAGAAACATTATCATCACACCTCTACAGTTCATCTGAGAAACATTATCATCACACCTCTACAGTTCATCTGTGAGAAATATAATCATCACACCTCTACAGTTCATCTGAGAAACATAATCATCACACCTCTACAGTTCATCTGAGAAACATTATCATCACACCTCTACAGTTCATCTG